TCATCCACATACCCGAACCAGTGGCTGGGTATGATCCCTGAGAACGAGCTCAGAGCTCTGCTACTCTAACCGGTCAGTCAGAATTGAGAAAGCCCTCTGGATTGAAGGGTGAAACGTTTTCAAAGAACTAAATAAGTCCAGTTGCCCTGAATAACCTTTCTTGGGATAATTCTGCATTGTGTGTATGAAGCATTTCAAAGTCAAAGGAAAATTGGGTGAAATGCAGATACCAGGGTTGGGAAACCTGATTCATGTATGTTCGGGTTTTTGGGATCAATCAGTCAATAATAAATCAGAGGTTCTCAGCTCCAGTCCTGAGGACACCCTATTATTGGCTGACTGAGAGGCCATCCCAAAAACCCACACCAGCTCTCTGTGGATCAGGTTCTCCACCCCTGGCATAGACTGTCCAAGGTGGGTCTATAAAGCCTGCAGACCAGGAGGAGCTCAATACAGCTGTCAGCAGTGTGATTCTGATGGTGACTAACATCACACACACACACTATGCATATGCATACATACCCACAAATTTTGTTGAACAAATAAATGATGATAATAATAATAATAATAATAATAATAATAATAATAATAATCTTACATCATTTCTAATGTTACATTTAACCCAGGGCTATGTTACAGCTATTACTGAATATGGAGTAAAACGTAACATTTCACTCAGTGTGTCTGAGGCTAAACCATTCATTGTCTGTTTGTGACACAGAAATAAAACCCGTAGCGTTTAATAGAACACAAATGCAGTTTTTTTTTTTTTATCAAATTTTGATTGCGATTCCTTAAAACAGCTCCGAGGTACAGTCAAAAATGTAAATATATATATATATATATTTTTTTAATAAAAAACGTTACAACCATCCCCGGTATTCCCTATACTTAAAGGTCAGGAATTCTGCTGCTCGTTGCCTTCATGATAAATACTTCGCTTGATCGTCACTTCAACTGCAGTTAACTTCAACTGAAGCAAAGAAGTTTTAGACTCACCACCAAGACGCAGCGATCCCCGGAGTGAAGCAGCAAATGAGCGCCGGCAGGTAAACGCAGATCCGGCTGGGCGGCGCGTCCATGCCCCACGGAGCCATGTAGCGTTAAGACGCATTAAAGCCAAAATCCCTGCGCTCTTATGAAAAGCGGAGATGCCGTGAGGATGTAGAGGGGCATCGCAGACGTCTGCTCACACGAAGTGTGTCTGCCGGTACCTGTCCAGGGACTGATATGCCGGGGCGCCGCCCCTGAAGCGCATCTGTACCTCGCCTGGAAAGCGGCCAGATCATGGGAAGATACCTCCAGGCAGGCTCTACCGTAGTAATCGGCCGCTAACCTTAAATCAGATGATATATGGGGAAATATGGTTGGATGATCGCAGCCATTTCACCCGTAAGACCGTCACGTCTCCTCTCATCTGTCCCACCTTTGATCTCCATTTAGCGGTTTAATACAGGGTTGCTCTTTCTTCTCGGATCCGGTAAATTATCTAATCGGATTTCAGGGATCATCGCGGTGGATGAAAAGGTTACAGCGCTCCCAGACGCCTGCTTCGAGGGTAGTCATTATTACTTTACACAAAAGTAATAAAGTAACTCTATATTAATAGTAAATTAACTTTTAAGTAGCCTACTATGGCTATGAATAAATATTGAACCGTACGTTCAGTGTTTATACGTGCTACAACAAGCTCCGTTTTAGCAAGCCGAAATATTTATAGGACATGACTATTACCTGCACATTAAGTGGACTATTACCTGCACATTCCAATGAGGAGTTTGTGATGGACGACAGTTTGATGAGGGAAGCTATACCTATCGAAGTCTTGTTATTTATTTATTTCCCCTCAAAGTGTCTGTGTGCGGGGAGAGATCACGGTTAAGTCTCGGTTATATACCTGTAGTCGCTGTTGGCTGATTACCAGGCTAACTGCACCTGTTTGTACAGAGATAAACTTCACTGATTTTTCCCGAACCCTTGGGCTGATTGAGTCTTCAACCAGCTGCTCAAGGTCCGTTTTGATACAAAATAACCCCATTTTCTCCTTGACCTTACAAAGTACAACCGTGAGCTTCCCATTTGTCTTTTGCTCTGAGGGTGAACTGGTGCACAGTTGTGCGTTTGTTCAGTTATATTATAATCTTTGATTTTAGTTGGGATTAACATACATAACCATATGGATACATACCCATAAATTTTGTTGAACTTGAAATTTTTTGGCATAATTTATTATGTTACTGTTTGGGCGATCTTTATGAGAGCCTAAAATAGGGAGGCCTGTCTGACTCGCCTTCTATCCTTTAGGAAAGCCAGTCCGTATTTCCTTGTCAAAACCTTATTTATTTCATTATTCGCTATCATACAAAAACAATAAAACAAGGCACAGGACATAGAATCGCGAGCACCACCCAATGTAGGCGGTCAAGAGAAATGGTGACTCCCATATTCACCCCCTCTCCCAGGCCATTAGTGAGTGCTCAGGTAAAATCACAATTCAGTGCGCCTAACACTATGTGATGCACACGCTGACTGTAAAACAGCGAAAGCAAGCGCAACATGAATCAGAATCCAACATCCCGGCCCCTAATTATTACCTACAATAATAATTATTACATGTGAACAAACACTAACATCACATCATCAAATCAATTAACCAAACATTAATAGTCCAATTTTAATATCTTTAATTACGTCCTCTTCTCTAGGCCAGAGATTACTAGCACATAGCCTAGGATGAGAGTGATCTTTACCACCACTCTTTCCACCCTCCTTGAAAATAAGTCAGTCAAGTCAGAATCGAGTCAAGCCTCCTCAACTTCTTAAAGAAGACAAATCTTTGTGATAGGCCTGTCCAAACAGCTAATCTGAGTCTTGATCTTGACTCATCTCATAAAACCTTTGTTGTCCGCAACAACCTCCATGATTCTTCCCATGATCCAAGAATTCCAAGGGGCTGAATCGTCTACAATCAACACAATATCCCCAGGAAGAAAATTGCACTGGACATTTGGCCATTTCTGACGTGCCTGAAGCTGTGGCAGATACTCTTTGACCCATCTCTTCCAGAATAAATCTGACATATATTGAACTTGTCTCCACCTCTGATGAGAGTAGATGTCATCTTTGCAAAACATTCCTGGAGGCAATGTTGGATGAGACTTAAGAAGCAATAAGTGATTAGGAGTTAAAGCTTCAGGATCATTTAGATCTGTAGATGCCATAGCGCAATATGAATCAGACTCCAACAGTTACATTTAACCCAGGGCTATGATACAACTATCACTGACTATGGGGTAAATTGTAACATTTCACTCAATGTATTTGAGGCTTAATCATTCATTGTCTGAGATACAGACACCTGTGCCATTTAATAGAAGACATATGTAGGTAGTTTGTATAAAATATGGAATGTGGTTCCATAAAATGGCGATTCTTGCGGTGTTCCCCAGTTTAGGCAGCAGACTCACCAGGACTCTGTACTGGATAAGCAGGTATGGAAGATGGGTGGATGCTAAGCTCAGTGGGCTTGAAAGCTGAGGACATCCTGAAGGCAATAACGCCATCTTTATTGATAAGCCAGAGCCCTTTCAACAGGACTCAAAAGTATGACTCCTGTAATAGACGATCCCTAATATGCTTGATTGTGTAAGTAAATTAAGTACAGTCACCCATGGTATAGGGCTTTTTTGACGTTCTTAGTAAAAAGGAAATATCCATAAAGTTTCTTTTTTTTGCTGTTGAGTAGTTTATTTTGTCACAAAAATGGGTCAAGACGGTAGTTAGATTTTAGTTGTTACACTTCACCAGCACATTTATTTACATGTTAGGTGACAAAATTTCAACACAATACAAGCCAAAAAAAAAAAGAGTGAAATTTCCATATATAAAATACACTTCAATGCAATATGCCCCAGCCAGACGTATTTTCGATTTACCCAGGCAAAGTGTATCTCTGTGTGAATATTTTAGTTTCTTTTACAAAAGGCTCACTGCTGAAAGTGTTCCGGTATTTGCAGTTTTACCACATCCTTTTCACTTTGAAACAAGTGAATTTATTTTACAAAATAATGATTTTTTTTTTTCCCTGTACAAATAATACCATGGACACTATAGTAAAAAGTCCCTATTTGCTAATTTGGCTATAGTCGGTGAAACCCTGCCCCACTGAGCTCATTAACTAATCACATTGGAACAGTGAAACATGATTTAAAGGCCACTCTGGTATCACCGGAAAGCATTTTACCCAAACAGCCAAAGTGTTTCATTTACAAAAGCCAAGTACCCTGACGTTTGAGCGAGTTATGGTCCCCGAGTACATAAAGCAACAATACTGCACAATGATAGTTATAGAACAGAGACAGCACAGCTGTGCTTCTGTACAGGCTAAACACGCTGGGGGTCTAGGTGCCACTGTCGGCGTTTTCATGCAGGATCCATATCTCCTCATTTGATCGGTCATTGCCATTGCTGGTTGGTATCTGCCTCATTCTGCTGCTGGCTCGGGGGACGCCCTGTGTCCTGGGGACGCCCTGTGTCCTGGGGACGCCCTGTGTCCGCTGTGAACCTCTGCTGCCGGGAACGGGCAGCTGGGATTTGGGCCTCGTCATGCGACTCTCACTGGAGGCGGGTTTGCTGGAGGTGGTTCTGTCTGGGTGAGACCTGCCAGCCTGTCAGAGAGTGAAAATGGAAGCATTTCTGTTCAAGCGTCAGGCAAACTATGTGTACAGGACATGAAATTAGAGACTGTGCTACACTTTAGACAGTACAATAGGATGGATCTTTGGCATTAGATAGTGCAGTACGATGGATGGATGTAGACATTAGCAATATTTAAGACAAACATGCTGTGAGGATTGGGTTTTAGCGTATAGGGTCTCACCCGCTGGCTCTGAGTCTGGATGGCTTTCTCCTTTTTCGTTTGTCCAACAGGAAACATGATGAAATCATCTCTGGAGCGAGTTATCTGAAACAGTTTCCATAGCATCAGGCTCTTCAATTTACTGTAGGGTTATTATTATTATTATTACTACTATTATTATTATGAAGTGGCTGTGTTTTTAATCAGCCAGACCTGAGCAGAACCCTACAGATCCATCTCAGATGGACTACGCAAACCACAACTGAAGCTGCAGATGATGCCGGAAATGACATCACCTTGCGAATGTCTGGCTCAGACCGGCTAGAGCACAGAGAGCGCAGCTCCTGCATCAGGTCAGACTCATCATCAGAATCCATGCAGAGCAGTACTGGCCCATCTAAGCCCCTGTGGAGATGTATTCACACCAACAAGTGGTCAGGCACGTTGTCCTTGCAGATGAGGCGTTTGCTGCCCTCTTGTGGCCTGCTGAGGTACGTTGACCTTATAGATGAGGCCTTTGCTGCCACCTAGTGGCCAAATTATGATGCTGAAGAGCCTTGGTTCGCCACCTTACCTGCTCATCCTGCCCAAGCAGACATCTGAGCCACACATGGGACCTGCGGGGCAGCAGACACACATGACCCCCATTCCACAGTGGAACACAGACATACATGAGCTCAGGTCCTCAGAAGAAGGTGAGGCTGCCCACGTGCCATCTCCCCTCACCATCTCGGACAGTTGTGTTGCTCCTCCAGGATCCTCCTCTTCTGCGTGGGCCGGTGCGGACCTTCCTCCAGGCTGGGCCATCTGGGTCCCTGCGTGCCCTGCCGCTGAGGGGGCCGTGTGGCAGCAGCAGTGAGACACCATCCCCCCCGTGGAAGGCAGGCAAGTACTTATCAATTTCTGAGGGGATGAGAAATCACACCAGAACCTTCTTATACTCAAAATGTACTTACTGTTGCTCTAAGGGCATCATGACTGCTAATAGCATGTAACTACCAGCAGGGGGCGTACCTGTCCTGGGCAGTGGGCAGGACTGGAGGACGGCCTTGTTGACCAAGATGCTGAGGGCAGCCTTAACCACAGCCTGCTGGCCTGGACTCAGCTTGGGACTGCGTGGCAGATGGCGCTGTGGGGATCTGCTCACGGTCACCCTGGAGACGATGGTGTCTTCCACGCGGGGGACGATAACCACGTTCCACAGCCTGGACAACCACCTGGGACAGGAGACCCGTCTTCAGAATGATCGGCTAAAGCTCGTGGGCAGTGGTGGCTTAATGGTTAGGGACTCGCACTTGCAATTGAAACACTGCTGGTTCAAATCCCCGACCAGCACGGCACCACTGAGGTACCCTGAGCAAGGTACTGCCCCCAAGCACTGCTCCCCGGGCACTGAATTAGCGGCCCCCTGCATACCACATATGGGTTAAATGCAGAGGACACATTTCGTTGTTGTGCTGTGGTGTGTCAACAATGACCACTGGTCACTTAATTCTAAATTCACATGATTTCATTCGGGCTCCATTTTTTCCTCCCATTTATGGCTCACCCAATAATGGCAGATGTTTCCTTCAGCACCACAGGACAGGAGAAGAACATGTGTGGTCCTATGAGAGCCTCGGGGGTCCCCAGCCGGGCCAGACAGCCATTCAGGTGCTGCCACACAGAGCAGATCCAGGCCAGACTCCTCCACAATGAGTCGGACGGTGGCAGAACATTGCCCTGCAGCTGGAGAGGACAGTAGCACTGTATGAGGTGTGATGGCACTGCAGCCCTGCTCAGAGCTCCCCCCGGTGGTGGGATGCTAACCTTGTGCAGGAGCTTCCTGCGCAGGTGACGGCCCAGAAGGCCGCAGAGCGGCTCAGAGTCCCAACGCAGCTGCACCCAGCGGAAGTGCTGCTGCAGGAGCAACTCAGGTCCATGGAGGCGGGGCTTAGACAGCGTACCAATCAGGAAGCTTCCTTCCAGGAAGTGGTACTGGCCATCTGGAGCTGGGGGGGAGGCAGTAAAGAGAATGTAAATACTGAGACATATAAACATGATATAAACATTGTGGCTGGCACCATCCATTGCTGTGGATCACATGACCTAGGCTTGGTACGTGGTCACTTTTTGTTTGAAGCAGAGAAACACACGAGAGTGTGAAAGGTGGGGAATTCAACAGCTGGTCAAACAGGTATGCAGGGTAAGGAAAACTAGATTACTTTGTATACGGTTATAAATACAGAGCACACAGGAGTAGCTAATGAGCGTTGATGTGCCAGTGCTCAGGCCTCACTGGAGGGTGTGTTCAGTAATCCTAACCCTCACCTTACAGTGCTTAAGAGCACACAGGTGTAGCTAATGAGCTTTGATGTGCCGGTGCTCAGGCCTCACCATGAGACAGGGTCATTGGGTAGGCATGTCCCCGGTTCCCCAGGCCTTCACATAGGTCACCCAGTAGTTCCCACAAAGAGCCAGCCCGCTCCAGACCTTCCAGCAGAACCAGAATGCAGTGGCCAGGGCCAGGTTCGCCGTTCGGGACCAGGAAGCCTGTGATGACCGTGGTGAAACGCAGTGATATGTGGTCACCACTTCTGCACTCTCATGTAGAAATTCTTTTTTTATTATTGTGCACCTTCATTTTTGCTACACACTAATGGGTAATTACTGAGGTGTTGATTAAAGCAATCTCTTAAAAACCATTTAACTCAAATGTCTTCATAATCATAATATCATATGCATTGATCGTGCATATAGTGCATGGCTTTGTTCCACCCTCTATACGAAACTGCAGTTTGTCAAAGCCAGTTGCAATGTTTTCTAGGTAACTGTGCCACTGTCCCTTAAAGCTACTGGCAGCACTCATGCATCATGAGGACTGCAAGGGGCGGGGGGGGGGGCGCTCACCACAACTGAGGAAGGTCTGCAGAAGCTGCTCCCTGGTCAGATTCTGGTCCACATGCACTGGGACGAGGCTGCAAGTCATCCCTGCTGCCTCCTGCTTGCTCTGCCGGGGGTGGGGGGGGGTCAGGGTGAGTGGTGCCAGCATGTACAGGATAGTGGCGAGCATCCAGACGGGCTGCCCTACCCCCCCTTACCTTCACACAGAGGGCAACCAGTTGGGCCACATAGTCCTGACAGCTGCCCTCGGACCCGTGAAAGATGACGGTCCCGTACTGCTCCACCTGGGGAACCGGGAAGGGGCAGTCTGAGCGCCAAGCCAGGGCACAGGCATCGAGAGCTATGCATCAAGGGCTGTGCTGAGGGCTCATGCCGAGGGTTACGCATCAAGGGCACACACCAAGGGCAATGCGTCGACATGGAGCCTTGTATTTATACATCAGGGACACAGTCTATGCATTTTCAGCTAACCTGAGAGTAGGTTAGCATATGCATAAAAATACCACTAACCCAAAGGCCCAGTTCTACTGTGTTACAGGATGCAGGTATAAAGGCAGCCACCAGAGGGCAGAGCAACATGATTCCAAGTTCAAATTACTGGTTACTGTCCGTCACTGCCACATGAAATACTGAAGTTATGAAGACATTACAGCCAAAGATGAGTCACTGAGCAGTTTAACATGCTGATTCAGAGTGTAGCATCATTCAAAAGAAGGCAAAGAGAGTCAACCCCTACCAGCCTGACGAAGTTCTGCAGCAGGTTCTGGGGGATCAACGACTCGTATGTCAGCTCGTCCAGACACGACTCTGAGAGCCCTGTGATGGCAGCGGGAAAGCGAGGGAGAGGAGCTGACAGGCATAATAGGTACGCGAGGATCCCTCCACATGAAGAACACACACACACACACACACACACACGCGACACAGACACACACGCGACACAGACACAAGCCTTTAGAATCAGGACCTACAGCGGTCACCAGGAATCGACAGCAAGGGCAGTGTCAGAAATCAATACAGTAATAAAATAAAAATACATAGAGCTTTGGCTTTGCTCAGAGACATATGGTCTACCAGAGATCCCACCAAAGGTCAGAACACTCACCACAGGTCAGAGATCCCACAACAGGCCAGAGCATTCACCACAGGTCAGATATCCCACAAATGGTCAGAGCACTCACCATAGGTCAAAATCCCACGACAGGTCAGAGATTGCATAATAGCTCAGATCTCACCTTTCCATCTGATGGTGGCTCGCTGACTGTGTGGCTTTCGGACCAGGTCCCAGGGAGACTGAGGGAGCTCCTGACCCAGGAACCAGATGGCTTCACCTTCAGACAGAAGAACCAGAGACGTGGCAGTGATCTTTAGTGACAATTCCAGATTTCATCTTCACTAACACTTTGTCCATTGTCCATATTTTTCACAAGATTTCTACAGGGTTCCCCCAGTTCTGGCAGAATAAATTTCCATGACTTTTCCAAAACTTTTCCAGTACCACAAGACAATTTTCCAAAACCCAGAAGTTTGCTTTGATTTGATGATCATGCAGTTTCAGATAGCAATTGTCCTGCCCCGATCGTCCGCTCCTTCCGTGTGCCACGCCCCCTCGTTAACCTCGTGTAGAATCCTCATGTGATCAGCTGTTTCTGGTTGTTGTCATTAGTCCTCTGTATTTAGTCTGCGTTTCAGTTTGTTTCCCCAGTCCGGTCATTGTAATATCACTGTGTGTTTTCTTGCCTGCCCTTTATATTAAACCCCGTGTTCCCCGATTTCCTGACCGCAGCTCCTCTGTCTCCGCTCCGCGTCCCACATACAGTAATAGCCTACTACAATTTTCGGTACAATAATAGCCAATCTGCTTACCTAATAAACACAGATGGTGGACAACTTTTGCCAATGTGCAAATAGCGTTCAATTATTAAGACAATTAATCCCAATATTAAAATTATACGTACCTTATGATTGGTAGAGGCAAATAAAGTCAAAAACGGGAAACTGATCAATAAAATTCAAATACGTGCAAAACAATAAATAAAACTGTAAAAACTGAAATTACGAGCAAAAAAGCAGCGATCTCAAATATGCGAATTCTGCGCGGAAACGGATGTTTACCAAGGTAGTTAACTATTGACTTCCACTCGTACATTTCTGTTAGCGCGTTGCAGAACGAAGCGGGAAAAAAATTAACAAGGCTAGTTTCCAAAACTTTTCCATAACTTTTCCTCTCTATCCAAGAATTCCAAAACTTATCCAGGGCCTTGAAAAATGATTTTAAAATTCCAAAACTTTTCCAGGTTTTCCATGACCACGGGTACCCTGTTTCTAATACCGATAAACTCCAGTGCTTCACAACAGCAGGATTACTCCGTACATGACACAACATCCATCAGTCCATCCATCCATCCCCTAAGTGCGTATCTCGATCCTAGGTATGCATACACCCTGGACAGGTCACAAGTGCGTGGCAGGGCAGAAACATACACGCTGACATACAATCATCAGACAATGTGGGAAGTTACTGCAGCCTTATTGCTAAGCTTAAACTACTCGACTTTCAAAGTCGTCAGATCACTGTACCGTTCAGACAACACAACTTGTTGACTTGTAATCGGGAGTATTAAAATATTGTGGTTTACACACTACAACACTGGTCAGTGACAGAGGGTCACACATTGCAAGATTTTTCACCACAAGGAATCTCCAGTGAGTCTGTCTGGTCTCCAAACTACAGTTTGTCACAAAAACACACGTAAGAAGTGACTTGGGGAAATGATTAGTCTCAACACACTACAAATTGCTAAAAACACTTTAAATCAAATGACAATAGATTTGAGGCATGTTTGTAAATGTCGAGCATATTAATCTTTGTATACATAGGACTTTCAGGAAACACTATCACATACTTTGGGTCTTTTGTGACTTTAGTGGTCCAAGCCGAGGCCCAGGGCTCTCTCACCTACGAGCACCGAGTGGATGCTGTCCAAGCTGAGGCCCAGGGTGCGCTCTGCACTGCTATCTTCCTCCGGCAGCTCCCAGCCACCGCATAGCACACGTAGGTGTGCCGTCACGGTCCGCGTTAGACTTCCCGAGAATTCCGCCCAGCTGGTGTGCCGGTTCACTGTGAGGATGCCCAGTGTGGGGCCGCTGTCGGCGTCCTCTAGCATGCAGAGCTGCTCTTCCCAGCCCTGCTGGACCTGAACCAGGACTTTGTAAGACCCTGTAGACAGGAGCAGGGGTCTGGAGTGGGTCACGGCCCTGACCGGTAAAAACGTTCATCAGCACATAGCACAGAGACAGTCATCAGGGTCAAAGATACGGTCATCACACATAT